TCCGGGTCCTCATTTTACCCACCTCGGAAGGATGGAAGGCTGAGTCAACCCTGAGCCGGGGAGATTCGAACAGCCAAACTGCAGAACTGCAGTCAGCTGAAGTAGCCTGCAGTGCTGCATTTAACCACTGCGCCACCTCGGCTCTATACTTCCTGCAACCCACCACTGCTCAGCTCCTACTGTTTGGGATGGGTACAAGGTTGAGGACTCTGCTCATATTTGACATCTACAAGAAGCTGCTGGTTGAAGTAATTCATCATCATGGGATGAAGTATCATCAGTATGCTGATGATACCCAGTTGTATCTTTCTGCCCTTAAGTGGACTAACTGTGTCTGTCCTTTCTTGGTGTTTGGATATGACGTAGGTCTGGATGGGGAACAACAGGTTTTCAGCTCAACCCTGGCAAGACTGAGTGGCTTTAGATTTGGTGGGCCTTCAATTGTTGAGGGTCTTATCATCTGTGGAGCTGCATGAAGTTGAACTACGCCATAATTACCTGAAAACTCTTGCTTAAAGAGAAGATAGTAATTAGAGCTAGGAGGGCCACCAAGAATCTCTGCACACCCTCTTGTTGACCATTGCGTCTGTTCCTGGACAAGCAAGTCTACTTTCAGTTACATATTTCCCAATTGATTTACTACAACATGGAACTTCCCTTGAAGAGCATCCAGAAGCTTCTCTGGGATAAACTGCTGCAGTGCAGATGGTTATATGTGTTCCAGGTTCTGTGCATGTTACATCTCTGCTCCCCAAGCTGCATTTGCTTTCAAGCATAATTCAAGGTGTTGGTAATAACCTATAAAGCCTTAAACAACATGGGGACATGTTATTTGCAGGACTGCTTCTCTTGTTACATCTACCGCCCATCTTATCACTTCCGGCATGTTACACATCTTGCTTATAAAGAATTGCCATCTGATGGGAACCAGGATAGTCTTTTCTGCTGCAGTCCCTCCCTTTTGAATGCCATTCCTCCCATTGGCTTAGATTAGTTCCAACTTTGCTTCTCTTTTCCAAAAGGCAGTACAACCTGGTTTTGCCAAAATATGCCTGGGGATCCTATTATGGTTTGAAGCCTGCCAAGTGACTATATTCAAGATTTTCCCTGGGTTCTTAACTTAGCTTTAAAGCAGCAGTCACCAACTGGTGGTCTGGAAGAGAATTTTGGTGGTCCACAGAAAAATTACATGCAATCAATGCTTGTGTTGCTGCAGAGTCTCTCCCTCCTCCATGGTCTTTTTGTGTAGGTCAGAGGGGGACAGAAATTCCGACTTGGGGTCTGCTTTGGCCTCCTGCTGCGGGGCTTACGGTGAAGGCTGGAGGGAAGTGTTGCTGGTGGTGAAGAGCCAGAGGACCTTGTTCCAGTGGGACTGCATCATGGCCTGGAACTGGCTGACCATCTCAGCCCGCTGAGCCTCCAGGCACCAGTACCTGGACTTGCACTCCTATAGGTCTTCTCTCTGCTTGGAAAGTCGTCAGTGAAGTGCTTCTGCTGACCCTCTTTCTTGGTCAGATCCAATCTGAACCGAGCTGTTTTGCCAACTCTTTCTCATGGTGGCTGCTTAGCTCCAACAACTGCTTCCTGTTGGGGGTCGTAAGGAGCCCGAGCAGGCAGGTGAGGCGTGGCTGGGAGGGGAGGGGCGAGTAGAGGCTGGCAAGGCCTCCCTCGACATGAGTGACATCAAGTTGACCACGCCCACTGAGTCACATGATCACCTAGCCATGCCCACCCATTAGGTAGATCATATTAGCAGTGTTTTTCAACCTTTTTTGTGCAAAGGCACACTTTTTTCATGAAAAAAATCACGAGGCACACCACCATTAGAAAATGTTAAAAAAATTT